ACTGTGTGGACCTGCTCAGGCAGGGAGGGGCAGGGAGGGGGGGGGGGGGGGGGGGGTAGGGGGCTAGGGCATAGAGGTTTCAGGGTTCGGGGCTACATGATTTACGTAAGTAGAGGTTAGGGTTCAAGGCCCTGCAAAGACGACGGACCTTCTGCATCTGCTCGCGCAGACTCTTCGTGGTCTCTTCCAAGCGCTCCTTCAAAGCAGATCCCACTTTGCCCTTCGGCCCGAACTCACTGGCAGGTGCACATTTCGGAGAAATCTCCTGGTCTTTGAGGAGCCCTTCGCGGACTGCCTTCTCTTTTCCAAGGGCCTTCGAAGCGCCCATCTTGGGAAGCAGGTATGTCCAGGGCTCGACACCGCGCGCCTCCTGGATTGCAACCTGCAGAGCCTGGGCTGCGATTGAGCCTTCGAGATCAGCAGAGCATCTCGTGAAGAACGGGATGCCAGGACCAGATGGCCGTGCTAACCCCAGGATGACCTTTCTGTGCCACGTGTGCATTGACACACCTCACCCATCCTTCGTTCCCCGATGGGACGCATGCTGCTTTGCCGGTCCAGGCATGCACGTTCACGCGACAATCCCCAGAATCTCTTCCAGAAGAAGAAAGAATTCGGTGCAGCTGCCTTGGCATACTCGCGAGTTACTATTCTGGTCTGAACCTCTGAGGACAATTTTGGCACGTTCACGAATGCCTGCCTACATTCCTACATGTAGCATATCCGCTTCCTGCTGCATGCAGCCATATTCCGTGCCTTCAGCTGGAGGCATCCTGGCCGAAGCTTCCTGGGGTATGGCTGCAGCTGAACACATCAGCTCAGCAAAGCACCCCGAGTCTTGATCCTCCTTCGCGTTGACGCTCTCGGCAAAGACTCTGACGGCCGTCTGCCCCGCACAGTCATCAAAGCAGAACTTGCTCGAAACTGGCGCCCTGATGAAGCGTTTGCAAGTCGCACGGAGCCGAGCCTCGTGAGCATCGCGCAAAGCTTCGTACTTGGCCTCCAACTCCTTGGCCTTATTAGGGAGAACCGTGGACCGGCAATAGGTCCAATGGCGTCCAGGCCCGAGGTCTCTGCCTTCTGCCTTTCTTCCAGGAGCTGAACCTGCGTCGGCGCAAGTCTTACCCCGGAAACGGAAACGAGCCACTGAGCAGCTACTGCCGCTGTGACCTCCATCTCCTCTCGGAGATTCCGTGTCTGTGACTCCACGGTATCAACCTCCTGCAAGGCAGCCTGTCGAGGGCAACTGCTCCAGGCCGGAGTCGCCCCACTGAGAAGCGGGGAGAGAGAATGAGTGGGAGCATCAAAGCACCAACAACGCAAAACAACTTCGAAGAGTTGCTTAATGAGGTTGCCTCGCGCACCTTTGATACTGCAGCATACTTTGATGCAGCCTCTGCAGCCTGGGAAACAACAGCACGCCACATCGAAATTGAACTACTTGCATACAGGCGTGCTTGCTGTATGGTGCCGAGGTTAGCACACGAGCCCTTTCCTGCGCCAACTCTTCCTGTAAGGAAAAACTCTGCAATGTCAATCTTTTGCATGCCATAAGAAGAGCACAGCCAGCTCTGCCTGAAGGTTCAGCATCGTCGTGCGCAGCGTTGCTTCTGCCTGCGGTTCTCAGGGCTCCCAAGATCTCCCAAGTAGCGTCAGAGAATGCAAAGCTGGGTCCGGGACGGCTTGCCGACGCCTGACAAGTGAAAACGACTGGGCTCGAGACTGCAGCTACTTGAGCACTCCAGCATCAGAGGACTGTTGAGGCTAAAACTCCAGCTCTTCTTGAAGATTCCGGGTCGCAGATGCCTGCAGTGCAAAGCCATGAACCGCCTAGCGCTACAAGGATGGTTTAGGTGCACGTTTTTACCTCTTTGCTCTGCATCCTGAGGACTTGACATCGGCAGCCTTGCTCCTCAGAAACCACCGGAGTGTATGACATGATCTCCAATACAAGTAGCCCACTTACTGTTCGCGTGCTTCCCCTTGACAAGCCTCACGCTGGACGACAAGATCGCTATGCACGAATATGCACGGCGGGCAGCTGATGCTGGTACCAAACCGGTCTCTTATCTTAGCGCTGAGACTTGACCCAACTTAACAGCTTAAGCAACTCTGCCCCCTGTCACGACATTCTCGGACATACTTGGACGCAAGCCCAACCCAAAGTGCTGAGAAGCATGCGCAGTCCGTATTGCCACCTCTTGCTGCACCGCTGCCTTGTATTGCACGCACGTTCAGGAGCATGCAGCGGCAAAAGTATACATACGTGTGTCAAATGATGTCAAATGCCTTCTCTTGCTCCAGCTCTGCCTGCAGCAGCCACTGCGCAATGTTTACAATGATCTCAACCACTGCAGCGGCCACCTGAAGTGTTTGCATCGTCGCCCTCATGGTCACTTCGGCCTGCAGACCGGCGAAGGGTAGCAACAGCAGTCACTGCACCAGATGGAAATTGCCAACTGCACTTCAACGCACCAACACATGCACTGAAGCTTAGTGAAGAGCTGCTTTTTGCCGCCTGAACAACGGACTGAGGATGCGCAACAGCAGCTGAAGCTAGTTCTCAAGAGAGCGATTTCAAAGGCTTCGGCTGAAGTTCATCCTGAAGCTGCTGCATGGCGGCTGCCTAATTCGTAACAGCAAGAGCCTTCCAACAGATGCCGCCCATAAAATGCCGAGTCTGCCGCTTCCACCGCTTGCTTCCTCAGTCATCGCAATTCAATTAGACACTTCATGCCCACGGACAGCGGAAGCTAAATGTGAACAGCATTTCATGGGCAGGCACGAGCTTTGGAGGGCAATTTCTTGCTGCAGAGTTGCCTTAGTACAGACTTGCATGGACTGCGGAACGACATCAAAACATCAAAACAGCAGGAATGGCAGTGCTAACGTATGAGTCCATCTGGTTGGTCTTGAGAACAGAGGAAAGATTCCTTTTCATGTCGACCCATTCAAGTGGATATGTGATATTTGATGCAATCCAGCCGTCAGAGAAAAGCAGTCTTCTTCCTCGCCATGGTCACCGTAACCCTGGGCATACTCATCCACATCTCCGTAACCCGCATCATCCTCATCAGCACCAGCCACAGCGGCAGAAGCAGCAGCCATCGCTTGGTCTTCTTCATGCTCATGAGCACGATGGCTGTCGTAAATAACAGCATCATGGCTACTGTCGTCGCAACCGCTGCTGCTGCTACTGCGGTTAATGCTGCGGCCGTCTGCTGTTGTAGTACTGGCAATGGCTATCAATGCTATGATAGCAAATATGGCTATGTTGGTGTTGTCGCCCTCATTCATGTTGACTTTGCATTTGCCTATCCTTACTAGGTTACCATCACCGTGATCATCTTCAGCATCATGACCAACAGCAGCATCATATGGCCTCCCTCGACTAGCTTGAGCATCGACTCCGCTAGTTGAAGGCTTTCTCAAGGGACATCTGTAAAGCGGTGGTTCGCTCGTCGAGCAGCGTCTACAAAATTTCTGGTCACGGCATCCCATCTGTAAAAGCTGGCATCCTTCAAAATCTCCGCGGCCCCTGCACTGCGCTGGCGCTCAGCCTGGAGATCGGCCTGAGGCGTAGGACTGCGGGCGACATTTCGCCAGCCTGCTTGACCGTGCTCATTGAGGGCCGTGCCAGCAGAGTCTCTTGCAGCTTCTTTACGCTTTCTTGCGAACCATCTTTGCTTGCAGTGGCCTGGAGCGGAGCTCATCGCAAGTCTCCCTCCGCATCTATCGCGCTCTCCCAGGCCTGCTGCTTCCAAATCTCGCACTCGTCCACTGCCTCGGTTGCAGCTCACCATGGCAAAGAGGAGAGAAAGGACCACAACAACTCACAAAGCAAAGGGAGCACGACCTGTCCTAGGTGCGATACACTCTGCAGGCGTTGCTGCTGTGTTGCCAGCTGCGCCTCACCCGAATTCAAACGACTCTGATGGGACTGAATGGACATCCAGGCCATACGCCTCTGCCTGTGACCGCTTGACTTCCAGCTCATGTGCATTCCTCCAACATGACAGCACAATGCTGCTGAGCTCACGTTAGCAGTGCTTTGGCTCACGAATCCTCTGGGCTTCTTTCAAGCTTTCCTTTTGTGCATCGAGCTCGGCTTGCACCTGCTTTTGATAGCAACACTCGCACTGTACCTCGTGTCCCAGGACTTTCAATGAGTGCCCGACAGTCTGCAATTTCTGCTGCTCCGCTGCGAGTTGCTCCTGGGCAGCTTCGGAAGATCCGTACGTAAGGCACACGGGCAGCAAAGCCCAGCCTCCGCTACCGTTCGTTTCTTGTCAGTCTCATCGGTACTCCTTCAGCAAGCAATCGTGAGGCATCGTTCCAATTGCCGGAAATGCCAACGGCAGTGCGGGAAAGTCAATGTCGGGTCCTGTGTGCTGTCTGTAGGCTTTCCTTTTGCGCATCGAATTCAGCTTGAAGCTTCTGCGCGCTTTCCTTGTGCATGTCAAGTTCTTCCTGCACCTAAGTCACATCATGGGCAAGCAGCAGGCTCTGACCATCAGCTCAACGCTAAGTAACAAGCAGCAATTAACCGCTGCTGTTCAGCGGCCAGCTTTTCCTGCGATGTTCCGCACCAGCGAGCACGAGCGACAACAGTACCGCTGCATAGAACCCCCCCTCTTTTTGAAGGCTACACAGCTGGGCGGCCTCTGCCTGCGAGCGTTTCAGCTCGACCTCTTCTGCACTCCTCATCAACCGGTAACGATGGTCGCGGGGACGCAGATAAGGTGAAATCGCGAGAGTCCTCTGAGCCACATCCAGGCGTTCCTTGAGCGCCTCAAACTCTTCCTTCACCTGCAGGTGGCTCGATTCTCTACATTGTGCCGATTGCACAATCTCGCGTGATCCGCGTGCCTTGTCTGCTTCTGCTCGGGCTGATTTCAGCTCAGACGCCGTCGTCTCCTTTGAGGTGCTGCCAAATTACCGGGAACGAAAGCCTCTGAGCCGAGCCCTCTGCCAATTCTTTCGCTGTGGCCTGCTGGGAATCGGCTGTGCTGTTGCTGGCGGCCTGGCCACGGCTGTTTGCGCCGTGTCCATGCCCAAACCGTGACACCGCGCACCAAGCCTTTTGTTGCTCCAGCTCTGCCTGCAGAACACAGACATTCTTGATTGAAGCAAATCGGACAGGACGCTTTGCTCCGATTTTGTGCCTGCAGATTCTGCACGGTTTTCTGCAGAGACACTTCGGCCTGCTCTGAGGTGCAACTCACAACTCTGAGGGCCTGTTGCCATCGCGGAAAGCCGCGCTTTAGCCCGAAACAACGTAAGGCGCACACTTCCTTTTGCTGCCTCCAGAGTCAAGGAAGCGGATCAAGGCTCCGGGCTCTAGTGTAGAAATGGGCGCGGCTATTCTGAAGCTGGCTTCGAAGTGCTGCGAATTTCAACAGGGCGGTAGCAAGCTGATGCCTCCTACAAGCTGAGGGTGTCACTCAAGCTCCTGACGAAGCGCCGCGGTCGCAGCAGCCTGGGCAGGGAGGTTGGGAGTATGGCAGCATCTGCTTGGGTCTGGGAAAATCTGATGACGGGCAGAACGTTTTCACCTTTCGCGTTCAGGCTCGCAGGCTGCTCCGTTGCCTTAGCTCGCAGTGGAGGCAACCTTTGGGCCCGTGTTTTGAGCTCTCTACGATTCGAGGCTCTCTCCTTCTCCGGGTCGGCCTTCCGTTTCCTGACAGACATAAACGCGAAGTCTGCACATGTCTATACGCATCGAGGAGTAAAAAGGCGCACCTTACGCCAAGCAGACCTCGCAGGGTCTCTTCGAGGGTTCCTGAAGCGCCATCTCGCGTGGGGCGGGAAACAGACATCGCCCTAGACATCGTGAGACAAGACAACTGTCCTGCATTGGGGCAACCTCAGACATGCGCAATGCCTTTCAGTTCTACAACTCGGAAAGCTATCTGCCATGCGGCCGCGAAGTTGCTTCGCCGCTCGCTCGCATGCTTCAGCGGTCTTCTTGGCAGGGCTTTGTCGCAGGCACTGTGCCAGGTTCCTGGACGATCACCCATCATGTCGCGCGCTTTGCAAAAAGCAAGAAGGCCAGGTGGACAGCTGTCAAGTAGGCCTGTGTGGATTCGTCGGATGCTCGATAAAGAGCCTAAGTTCAGGTGCCACGCAACTTCAAATCACACTCCGGCTTCAAAAATGACCGTGTGGCCGTCAACTGCAAAGACTTTCCAATGCCCTGATGTATCTGATGTGAGTCCGAGAAGAGGCCAAGGTAGGCCAAGGCAAATACCGCTACCTGCACGCCGGAGAGCGTGGCTCGGCCATGCCGCGCACCCTTCGATCTGCTCGTCCCCAGCGATATGTGGCGCTGTCGCCGGCAGCTCTTGGCAACGAACTGCAGAAACCTGGCAGAGGCATCTGTATCGACAGAAACAGAATTTTGGACTGCCCGACCTGGAGAAGGTGCAAACATCAAGCGGGATGGTTTGCAGGGCATCATCACATTCCTGGAAGGTTGTGTGGTGTGTTTGGATGGTTAAGCCAACGGCAACCAGCCCTCTGCACCTCTTTGAGGAAAGCGATGCATAAGCAAACCCAGGACACCGCATTCAAGTAGCCCGAGTAGGCGTTGAGGAGATCGTTGGTTTTAGCGAAAGCCTGGGACAGAACCGGCAGAGCCTCCCTTACTCCTCTGGAGTCCTGACTGATACCGCGACGGCTTCAACAGTAACTTCGAGATGCAGGATGGACGGCTCACGCCGTTTCAGTCATGTTAGGACCCGAAGCTTGCCAAAAGCTCAAGGATGCTCAAAGACGCCCCCGGCACTGAGACACAAAGACGAGATGACCGCTTCGACATAGATACCATAATATTTCAGCAGCTCGTCTTCGAGGTCTGAAACTTTCAATAGCAGGCTACAGCAGTCTAAGCTATCCCACAACCCGTACTTGCTTACACTGTCGCGGTGCAGTTCTGAGCAGTTGCCTTTTGTCAAAGCCCTCACATCCCTATGATACTGTCAGGTCCGGCACGACTTATCCACAAGCCTTCTAAGGTCGTGCTGAATTCCCCGGTCAAAACTATTTCACGAAGAGAATGCACCTGCAGAACAGGCACCTTGGCCATGCACACCATGTTACGTACGGCAGGCGCCGCCGAATCGAGGATTGTCGCCAGAACCTTGTCCACCTCCAGATCATCTGTGAGCCCCATTGTAATGTCCACCTGGAGTTGGCGATACCAGAGGCGCAGCAGTGGCAAGCTCGCCTGAGCTGGGCTCTAAGTGTTCCCCAAGCTTTCCTAGATCCTTGCACTACTACAAGTAGCTACTCTCAAGACCTTGGCCAATCAGGAACAGCCTGGCGCAGACCTGAACTTTGCAGCCTTAGCACGGTTGCAATCAACTGATCGAGCTCGAAGGCAGTTCCATGAAGCTTCGAGAGTGTGGTGAGGTAGAGGACTTGTCTGTCCTGACGTGGCCATTCACAGTTTCACTGTATGGTTTGGCTACGTCGCGAGCCTTGGCCCTTACTTCAAACTGCTCGAAGGACAAGCGAACGTCGAGATCTGACGTCTTGATGGCTGTGCCCTGTCAGGGGCAAGATTTGTCTGGAAATGTTGAGAATCCCGACAGGTCCGCTCGTTAGCTGTCGTACATATGTGTGCATGTCCCACTGCACTCCTGCACTGTGGAGCCAAAGGCTGTCAAGACTGGCTCAGGGCACCAGTCGAACGGCTTCATCTGAAACTCGGGTCCTGAAAAGGCGTCTTTGCAAGCCTCCAGACCAGGCCGCCAGAGTCTTCGGCAACAACAAAAAGGCTCTCACATGACATGTTTGGGGCCGCCTGTTTGAGCTCTCCAAGGCACTGCGTACCTCGGTCTGTTTCTACATGCTACGATCCAATCTCACAACAGGGAATTGAGGCTCGGGCATTTCTCACCTTGCAGAGACACGACTCCCAACTCTCCCGTCAATTGCTGCAACATGCTGGGTCGTATCAATGTGCGCGTCTGAACAATACTGGATCTAGTTTCTAGATATAGTCTAGCAACATCAACGCTGCCCATGCGCTGAATTAGGTGACACGGAACTTCTGCAGTCCAGCCACGGAATGTCTCATCTGCAAGAATGCAAGCACATACGCTGGTAAGATCCAGCGGAGGGCCGGCATCCTGATCACGGGTTTTCATCTACACGTTGGCTGCAGCCGTATGTCTTTCCTTTACTCTATTCGCAGACAGGTCGCGAGACTGCGCGGATCATTCAACTCAGATCCTTAACAGTGCATCATGAAGAACACTGCAACAAATGGAGTGGCTGCACTGCTTCAAAACGTTGCACCCAGGCTACCGGATGCGTCTGCTCCATCCTCTCCATCCTGAGTCCGAGGCAGCAAACATCTTTGGAAGGCAGGAATCCTGCACTCAAAGCCGACTTTCCTCCTGAGCGTCGACCGCCTCTGAGAGGGAATCCGCGGGGTCAGTGCTCTCCACGACTGGAGCCCCTCCTGGCGAATCACCTGCCAATGCAACTACAGCACAGCATTCAAGCCTGGCGCATGGCATCAGTTATGTTGTTTTCGCAACCAGCAGCACTGCATGCACATGTTCCTCGCAGAGTTCCGAGCGGGCCAGTCTTGCGGGTAAGCACAAGGCATTACAAGGCCAAGGCCCGGCAGTGCTTGTGGTGTCACAGAGGGTTGGGCGGCCGGATTACAGCCAACCGTCAGCTTCATTTCCTCCTCCGGGAAGCTCTCCTTCAAGAGCTTCCTGCGCGCTCGCCGCGGCCTCCTGGCATGTGCCCTCGGAGGTCTCGCTCTGGCTGTAGCCGAAGCTCGACAGTCGCCGGTCCTAGTTGGATCTCGGCTTCACTTTGAAGATCTTGAAGACCGTGCTTGCGGCCGTCGCAAACTGAGACTTGAAAAATGACTCGAAGTCGTGGCCGAGGCCGCGCAGGAGGCGCAGGTTCCCTGGTGTCAACCGAGGCCGCCGGCGCCTGCTGTTTCGAAGTTCTTGAAAATCACGCTTGCAGGAAGGTCCCGAAGTTCTCGTTGAGGCTTCGCCGGCTGCACAAGCCGTGTCCCAACTGCAAGTGAGTGAGGACGAACAGTGTCCAGCTGCATTTCTGCACTCGAGCTTCATACTTCACAGTTCACACCATGCCATGCATCCATCACAGCAAAGGGCGAAGATTCTGGGGGGGTGGGATTTCTGGTGACACACAGGCTGTTGAGGGAATGACAAACAAAACGAAAGAACGAAGGCACCCACTACCACGTCAACCGTCGGTTGGGGCACACTGTGGCAGAACAGCGTAATGCAGCAAGAGCGTTTCGATACGGGTTGGTCGATTCGCCCAGACCGAGCACTGGAATGAGTCAATTGGAGTTTCGAGGTGGTCGGAGGTTCAAGCTGCAGCCAGCGTGGTATCCTTTGGGTCAGTTGTCTGGGCGGGCAAGGTATAACCGGATGTGAGCTCTTCCATAACCGATCTTTGCTTGTATGAGGAAGAGTGCAACATCGTCTGCAAACCCATTTTTTGCGGATATCGGAACTCAAAGCAAATTCAAGCCGGGGCCTACACCGAGGATGTAGTCGAACAGTTTCTGCAGCTCTTCAGCCTGGATAGGATGACGACGATCGTTCCTTTTCGAAGTCTTTTTGCTTTGTGTGCCTGAGCACAGGTTGAGATCTTTCACAAGACACACATCAGCCTCCATGGGTGCGTCGGCGTTTCGCCTAAGAATCATGCAGTGAAGTGTACCCCCGCCTTCGGTAAGAGCACGTGGCATGTGTTGCAAAATGTGGACTCCTTGCCTCTGGTCTTGGATCGATCTCATTGCCTGTCCGTGCATCGGGGCTGGCCGGAACTACAATTACCCAAAAGAAGCCAAAATACCTGCCCTGCCTTGGTGTTTGCCATACAGGTTGGGATTCCATGCTTAAGCCCAACGCCGATAACCTGATGCATCGACTGCAGGCTCAGAGCCAGTCTGCCAGTGTGCAATACAAGTCCTGACGGTTGAACCACAAACCCTCAAACCAAAGCCACAAGGCAACAGAGCCACCTTGAGCATGTCTTCCGAGACCTTCCGAGACGTCAAGAATCCATCAGGCCGCTCCTGACAGACTCATTCAAGGGGGGGAATATGTGTATGTCAAAACTTTAAAAACACCATCCCCTGAGGTCCCGATGTTGAATATCGCATATTCAGTTTAGGATCAGTTCGGTTTTGTGTTTGTTCAAGCGAAGCCTTTCCTGGCTAGGGTTTTAGGTTGCAGAACGCATGCTTCTGATAAACCTCTAGATTCTGCTGTTATATCATGTACAAATGGTTAGACTCATGGTCGTATATGTGACAACCATAGCCGTCATAATACATGATACTAGACATAGTAGTATTTACAATCACCGCAGACTCTAAGAATGACAGTCGTGGCACTACTGACCACGACGGTACTACTTGTAGCACCTGCAAGCGGAACAATGATGGTACCAAGAATGAAAGGAAAAGGTTGACCGCGGTACTTGTCTGTTCAATATCGTTGGGACGTCCCCTGCTCCAATGACAATGCCCAGTATTATCATATGCATACTGCTATACTGCTGCACACGTTACTCTCAGTAGCACTGTCACTATCACTGCCGCTGTCACTACTACTATTACTATCACTACTATGATTACTTTCACAACGGTTTTACTTTCGACTGCTCCTTATTTTTAGTATCATTGGTACTCGTACATACTACTATGATGACGACGACTACTACTACTACTACTACTGCTACTTCTCCTCCTCCTCCTCCTCCTGCTGCTGCTGCTGCTGCTGCTGCTCCTGCTCCTCCTACTCCTACTCCTACTACTACTACTACTACTACCACCACTACTCACTCTTGCCGTCACCCCCAGATTCACTGTGACTCGCACTCTCGCGCTCACTTGCACTATTACTCTCAAAACGGAAAAAAACTAGCACGATTACTATTACTACTGCAATTGTTGTTCCTACTTCTATTGCCTTACTACTATGACTTTGCTGGCTTACTACGTATGACATCACTCCGAGGTACTGCTTCAGCAACGGTGAGTGCAGCGACGATCTCGTCAGCACGCTTCCGTTCCTCAGTTTCTTGACCAACTGCATCAGGCGTGACCTCTACACACCGCGAAGCTGGCCAACTTGCTGCTACAGAATTCCCGTTTCTCGGTGTGTTGCGGAAGCTGGCTGGGCCGGCATCTGGACGCCGAGTTGCGTAGCCACCGGCCATTTTCTCGATCAGCTCTTTGTAGGTTTCGAGGGCTGTGGAAGAAACCACAAGCCGCCGGCCCCCGAGGATTGATGCAAGCTGCCGCAGGACAGGCTCCTCTCAAGTACGTCGCCAAGTCATGCACCATATGAGAGACAAAGACAACCTCTTGGGCGCGGGCCTCGGCTTCCATTGCCGCCTGTGGTCGGGCTTTGGGAGGAGGGCCTGCCTAGGCCGGCCTAGGCTTCTCCCGAGCGCCTGCTTCTCGAGCTCTGCATCTTTGAAGGTCCAGCCAACCTTCGCAAACACTACCGAGACATTTCAGATACGGTCGACCAAGCGGGTGCGAACCTGGCGAACTTAATGCAGCCAAAACACCTGTCCATGAGACAAGTTCGAAGTCAATGCGATCAGAGTAGTCGTGTCCAGGTTAATGGAGTCCGCTGTTGTCCTGACGACGCACTCAACACGGCGAAATCGCCCAGACTCATGAGAATACGGCAGCTCGCATGCGAGGGCTTGCTTCACATGAAAGTCCTTGACGGATCTTGTGGCGGCACTGCACCCTCTGCGACATCAATGCCGAGTTCCGCGACAGCTGCCGCGAGAGATGGCGGCAAACCCCCGAAGAAGCGGAAGCACACCCGCGGCCTTGGAAAAGCTACCAGCTCGGACAACAGACAGGGGTGTAGTACGAAAGGATAGAAGTAATGGCCATCATGCTAACAGTCAAACAGAAGAGAGAGTGATAATAACAACAAACACAGTAACAACAATGCGCATAACCAGACGCAATATCATTCATTGGCTGAATACCGCAAGCAATGTCAACATGGTAGTAGGATGATTACGAGCGATACTAAATGAACACAGTCAAACTTATTCGTCATCATTTCAATGGCAATGGTAGTTAAGAAACGTTTACGATGAGGACAATAACAGTCAACAACAGCAAGCATAACAGCAAGTTTCGGCAATAGTAGGTCGACGATTCCAAAATTTAATATAACTTAGTTTAGTATCCTGTGATAGCAATCAAAAGCATGGCTGCCGGACTGTACCTCTTGCTTGCGATTTGGCTGCGTGGCATCTCCGATGATGTTCATCTTGGCGATGTGAAGACAGGATTTTGCCAGATCCAGGATGTGGTCATGCTCCAAGCGGTGCTGGGATCGAGCGAAGCACTTGATCCAGGCGACTGCGCCTCCGGCCCGGTCTGTCGGACCAAACCAAACTCTGAGTCTGACGCAAGCGCAAAAAAAAAAACGCTCCCGCGCCTGTTGCCAAGCCGGCAGTGACTTCAAATGTCACTTGGGCATCGTCCGCACTGAAACGTCTCAGGACACCACAAGCGACCACAGCGTGGCACATCTCAACTATAGCCTGATAGTAGGGCAGGTTGCTGCACTCCACTGCCTTGCATACGCCGGCGCTTGTCGGCAGCAGTCAAGACATGAGAAGAAGAACGGACATGCGACCAGAGACACGGAGAGGGCGCCGTCTTCTGTACAGTCCTGATGTTTGTCCTTCTTCTTTTGGAGGGCCTTACAGCATCAAAGGGTTGGCGAGCAATGCAATCCGGTGCAACAGGACACACGAGGTGTTCCCGAGTCGCATGCTGCCATCTCTGACCGAACATAGCGCAACAGCCTTCCTTTGTTCTGAATCCGCTTATCCAGACCTCAGCGCTCGGCGGGACGAGGGAACATGCACATAGCCGGTACGTGTCGAAACAACCCTCCTGGTCCAACCTGAGACAGGCACGCTGTACAGCCTTCACGATCTTCGCTGCTCTGACTTCTAAGTCTTCGAGGCCGTCGGAAGACATGGACTTTGGCCAAGGACATTGGTCCTGTGCTGACAGGCACTGACTCTCTCTTGATTGCCAAATGCTTGGTGGGGCCGCATACTTTCTCGCCGTGTGTGTTTTCACTCGAGGCTGCAGAGACTTTGGTCCGGCAAAGTCCACGGCTGCCGCTGCTTCACATGTATTGGCGCTGCACGTCATGCATCGCGAAAGCCTACTGAGGCAAGGCTAGACTTTGCTGCATAGGCTTGCTAACACAACGACAACTTACCAGGCTTGGTGGTCGCAGGACTCAGAGGGGAAGCTGTTGTAGCCGCCAAACAAATCTGATGCTGGTGCCCAGTGAACATGCCCTGATCTACAGAGTGTCTGTACACAAAGCAGCTGCAGAAAAGGGTGTAACAATACACAGCTCAATGATCCGGCATTGACAACGTGTATCCAAGCTAAGCTTTCCGCTTCGGAAGCCTGATTCCTTGGCAAACTGCAAAATGCCGTCAAGTACTGGGTAGGTTCATTGAGCAGGCGACGAGGTCTGCTCGGCGAGCTTCTGCTGAAGCTCTGCCTAAGAAGATGAAATCGAAAAGCCCCTGACCGTTTGGAGCGGGTACTCACATCCAGCATTTCGAAGCACTAAGTCAAAGGTGCCTGCTGACCTTGCTGAAGCACTTTGGGAGCTCTGGGGCCCCGTCTGTTCGCTTGCGTTCAGCTTCCAGCTCTCCCTTAGAGGGGCGCAGTCACGTTCCACACGGTTTACGGAAAGGAACCTTCATAGCAATAACCATAGATATGATGATACTGACAATCATCATCAGAAAATTCGAGGGGATCTATAGCACGTTCCGCCAAAGTCTTGTGACCAGAAAGATCTCAGCGCGGTGCACTTAAGAACTGTTCTAGCTGCTTCATGCCCTGCTCTGAGCCGTCTTTGCTGGCGATGGCCTCTTCGGGGATGTGAGAAGCCGTTACTAGTTCCGTCCCTGTCATACCCATCGAATGCTCGGGCATGGCCTGCTGCTTCCAAGCCTCGCATTCGGTGATTGCCTCGGTGCTCTTGCGCGGAGTGCAGAATCCTCGTGTGATTGCCCCGTGACCTCGCAGCCTGAGAAGATTCGAGCCCCCACTTGGCACCGGGCACTTTGAAGCCGCTGTTGCTCAGTCTCAAGTTGCACCTCCACCGAACAGATATCTTTCGTGTGAGTGTGCTTAAAGGCTCCAACCGCTTCAACAGTCGTGAATATCCCAAACCTTCACAACAGCCTCGCAGAGCTACACCTTCTCTCACTGGCTGTGTCTCGATGTCACGATTTTCGAACATGCCGGCATGCTGGGCAGGCTCTGACTTTCTCGGCTCGCCTGTACCTGCGACCGCTTCACTTCGACTTCTTGCGCATTCCTGCGGCGCTGCACTACAAGAAGGATCTTTCTCTTCTCAGCTTCAGCCATGGTGAAACCAGGGCCTCTGTGCTTCGGCCAACATGTCTTTTGCGGCCTGCAGCTGCTCCGTGGTGGCAGCCTGAGCCCAATGGCCACTGCCCCGGTCTTACTGCCCACATCCAGAGGAACTAGGCTGCAAGATGCTGTAACAGTTGCCGCAACCGAAGGAGGAACAACAAGGTGCCGATTTGGAAGAAGCAGAAGACATGGATTCTGTCGGCCAGCTCTGGAATTGTTGGGGACCCTGGTGTTGTGCGAAACAAGCACCACGAGTCCAACGTTGCGAGATCAGAAACAATGCCTTCGAAATGCACCAGCACGGTGGCACGGTAGACATACAGTCCTGAAAACTGAGACACTCTTGCGCATTTATCTAGCTCGTGTTTTGTCTAGCTGTATGAATCTGTACTTATACATATGCATCTGCATGTACATGGACATATACAGATACATATACATATACATAGACGTACATGCGCAAGTAAATACAAGTGTGTGTAGGCATGTTTGTCTGTGTGTATATATGCATGTATGCTTGTACGTGTGTATGTACGTATGCACTCATGTATGTATGCATGCCTCTGAATGCATATACACATATGTCTGCTGCCCTACAATCCTCTGTAACAGTGTATTATATGTACATGCACATATACATACATACATATATATATATATATGTATGTATATATATATATGTATATACATATACATCCACACACGCACAAGTAGTGTACCCCATACGTAGCCCGATCACACACGACTTGAGAAGGAATGGAATTTTCCTCGGAGACGCCAGCACATGACAGGTACAAGCAAACCGTCTCCGTAACCCGAAAGCGAGTTGAGCTGGGATTCTTGCTGTGCGGAAGCGTGCCAGAGCCACACAAGCGCACAGTCATGATGACTAACATCAACATCAGTATCGCTTCACCACCAACACAAACACCATCATCGCCATCATCGCCGTCATCATCTGCTTCTTGGGCCTCATCACTATCACTATCAATTACGCATTTGAAGTACGAGCAGTTCGCTTGACTCTGAGACTTCCCCTCGTCCTGCGCGAAGTCACTCCCGAGTTTTCTGAGCACCCTGGCCAGCTCCTGCTTCATGGTCGCTTGTGCATCCGTGCTGCTTTGGTTGGATGCCTGACACGGCAGGTGCGTGGCACGGATGCGAAGGCACACGAGACATTGCCTGTTGCTGCTGCTTCAAGGCTTCACACTCTGCTATAGCCTCGCGCTCTAGAGTTTGTACAGGGCACCCGCTACTCAGGTCGTGGAACTCGCAGATGAACTCTCAGAAACACACGCTTTGGAGTTTCTGCTGCTCCTCTTGGAGCTTGGCCTGCCATCTGCAATGCACCGCGAAGTGATATCTTCGCAACACGAGCCCATCCTCTGCTTGCGAGTGCTTTAGCTCCACATCCTGTGCGCTCCTTGCGAGTGGAGAGATGGAACAAGAGCCGAACAAGGTGCCGTTGTCAGAGCGCATGTCACCGAATACACTCCCACACTCCTCTGAGCTTGGTCAAACTTGTCCTTGAGGATGTCAAGATCCTTCTGCACCTACGCGAGAAACCGAACTTGCCAAGCGACGTGCTGCATGGCTGCCACGCTTTGTCATCTCACTGAGAGAAGCACGCCCTCCAGTTTCTGCTGCTCTTGCTCAAGTCTAGCCTGGGATTCCGAGGGTGCAGGCAGGATTTTTGGACCTTATCACGATCATGACTGGACCTCCGCTTTGGACCGGAGCATCTCCTCATTCTCTGCATTCCTCCAAGGAAACAGCCCGAACCCCTCCGCGCTGAAACACTCTGTGCTTCGGCCTCTTCGCTTCTTCGAAGCGCTCCTTGAGCGCTTCGAACTGGGCCCTCACCTGCAAAAAGGGACTCGACATCGGACATCCCTCGACGAGACCGCATGGCAAAGGGCATCCCACTTTCGCAGCATCTTCGCGGGCCGCTCGCAGTTCCGTGGCTGTGGAGGCCTCAAACAAGGGCCCATGCCCACGGAATCGCAAGGGCTTCGTGCTGCGTCGCACTCTGTGCGTCCCGCGAGCTCTTCCTTCATGGCTTGATGAGCATCGTCCTTCACGTCGTTGGATGCCTCAGCATGGTCGGCATGATCAGTTTCGTGAAATCGCCGATTCACCTGCGACACATCATGTGCACAATCGAGCCAGGCAAGCCCGGGTGGAAATCCCAGATTCCAACCTCAACGGCAGCAGAGGCCATGCTTGCGGCGAGAGGAAAGCAGCATTTTTAAGGATCCCCGCGTCCGTTTCATGGAGTTCCAGGTTTGTCCAGAGCCCTCGTTCAACGTACTGCCTGAGAGACACGAAGATTAGTCCCAGCATGAATGCCGTCACACCACCAAAACGACTACGCTTCGCTTCCAGCCACGCTGCCCATGGTTGCAAGATCCTGGAGGTACTCGTCATCTATGAGCCTGAACACAGCGCAGCTGCTACTAGTCTAAAGTCGCGCCCCGCACACTCAGAACAATGAACTGAAGTCGTCCAGAATCCCAAAGCTGAGCTACAGGGAGGCCTGTCCGCGGCGCGGAGCTTCAGGAAGTGGCCCTCAGACGGCTGCACAAACAGCCACCGCCGGGAAATGTAACTGCTTAGGAAATGTAACTGCTTTCTGAAGCCCACGCAGGCAGAAGCACTTCTGCCGGATGCTCCCACATCGTCTGCAAAATTCAGGAATTCGTTCTGGCAGGCGAAATCACAAGCAAACCTCTGGCCTGGCCGGTTCGGGAGTTGCAGAAGTAACTTGGCAAGTTACAGAGGAATTCAGTGGTGCTCGCCTGCTACGGCTGCTTGCTGAGGTCTCCACTCCTTGCCTGTGGTACTGTCTTTCACACTGTACCACAAAGCGAACTCTTCCTTCGCTTGTGCCTGCTTGCGGCGTTAAGCGCACGGAGAACGAAGTATGGTATACAAGAACCTCACCGGCTACAAGCAACTGTGCTGACTTGCGACAACACCACAACAGCTGCGACACTGCTGAACCTAACTCATGCTCAGAGCAGCGAAGCACATGCAAGCCTCCCAAGCTTCCCGTAGGTCGACAATTGATCGTTCCCGCATGGGTCGCGAAAGAGTGACGCAAACCTGAGCATGTCTGCTTCGACTAGCCACCTTCTCCCTTTCGTTACGGAGGGTGTGATCTGTCTTTTAGACCGTGATTTGTGGAAGGAATTCCCACAGCGTCGTCCCGAATCTGTGTTCGCTGGCTGGCAACAACACTTTCCAGTCCAGCGAAACTACAGTTTCGTGTCAGAAAGTCTGATGCTCTAGCCTCGACCCAAAGGAATGCAATCCATGGCCGAACCGCGTTGCCATCCATGGACTAGTGCGACTATGGAAGAGGGAATCCATCCTCCATCCGTGGCTGCGTCCAATGTCTAGTGCGAGTTTGAAAGAGAGCGTCCATGCCCGACCGTGATTACGTCCACGGTCTAGCGCGACTCGGGAAGAGAGCATCCATGCCCGAATCGTGGTAATGTCCATGGTCTAGACTAGAGAAAGTACTGTGTGCACCAATACTCCTGGTGTTTCTGAACCTGAACGTGCGGTCGGCCCGTCATAACTCTTGGTAACTAGTCCAACATTACCGTGGTCTGGTTCACAAGATGTAATCACTCTCCCCACTTTGTCAACATCCTGCCTAACCCAACAAGAACATGAAAAAGCAACCCGACTCAAGATGGCGGGCACCCGGCACGACAGACACCGGCGAGCTCACGGACGATCTCCTGGCCACATTTTCCAGTCTTCGAACCGAAAGCGCTGAGGCTACTGAGCCTCCAAGGGGTGTTCCCAGGTGGTCTCGCCAGTGCCGGAGTTTCCGTAGAAAACCCGGCCCTCGCCGTCTTTGTGAACTGCCTCAGGCCGACGCGTACTACCACATCCACTGGCACTCCAGCATGTACCCTCAAAACAGCAATGATAGGGCTAGGCCAATGTCATAAGCATGATCATCGGAGTAATTCGAACAATCGCAGTACATTTGTGGCAGTCGCAGTCGCCGCCACCGTGCTAGCTGCGGTGGCAATTCTAGTCAGCCGTCGTTGTTGTCGTCGTCGTCAACATGTCCTAGTGGTAGTAATTAGTAGTAGTCGTCGACGTCGTCGCATCAGCAGCACCACCAGCAGCAGAGTAGCAGCAGCAGCGGCGGCAGCAGCAGCGGCGGCAGCAGCAGCGGCGGCAGCAGCAGCACCACCACCAGCAGCAGTATAGTAGCAGCAGCAGCGGCGGCAGCAGCAGCAGCAGCAGCAGCGTCAGTAGCAGTAGCTGAGCAAGCTCCTCCGTACCGAGTCCCCAAAGGGATCAACAGAACTCAGGAATCAATCGGTTTCCTGCACTCCTGCCTTTGCCGGCTCCAGGGTTGGGAGCGACACGCACATGTTTGAGGCAGCTATGGTTGAGGAGACTGTAGAGACGGTATCACTAGGTAGGTTGAGAGAACAGTTGAACAGCAACCCACAGTAACGAATCATGTATCGATTAAGTTCATCTGCACAGAAACCTTAGCTGTTGCCCTGCAGGCCGGAAGAGAACGCCAGAAGAACGTTGAAAACTAGGACAGGGGAAAAGAATGCCGAATAATAAGCAGGTGCCGCTACCGTCATTAGGACATGATTTCTTCGACATAAAGATGTCGATAATTCAGTAACTTTTCTGGTTCATCTGGTGACAAGTCGGGGAGCGCAGGACTTCAGATCACAGCGTATCGTATCGTCTACTGCTTTGAAGTGCGGGCTCCAGGTGCGTGCCTGATGGAACTTGGCTCGCCCGGCAGAATGTCGAAACACGAAGGCAGACAACTCCTTGCATCTCCTTGCTGCTACTATCTCGAGGCAGCGCCTACGCTGCCTGGTAGCAGCCCAGGGGCCCAGGCCTGAGGTCAAATTTCATCCTGGGCAGCTGCTGCGGCATGGCCCCCTTCGCTCAGGCGTCAAGCCACTACTTAAGCTTTGGAGCAGCGAGCGCTGCTTCCTGCTCGATGTTGTAGATTCTTGGGTGCGCTTGACTCGCTTTGTCAAGGCCATGAGTGTGTCAGGTCTTTTCCTCTAGTTGCCTTCTCAACACCCGCCGCCCCGCCGCTCGGAGGGCGCTCTGCAGCTCGAGGCAGAAAAAATTTGGAATACGAGATTTGCTTAGCAGCAGTAGTAGCAGCAGTAGTAGCAGCAGTAGTAGCAGCAGTAGTAGCAGCAGTAGTAGCAGCAGGAGTCGTAGTCGTCTTCGTAGTAGTACTGGTAGTAGCAGTAGTAGCAGTAGTAGTACTCGCGGTAGTACTAGTAGTAGTACTAGTAGTAGTACTAGTAGTTGTACTAGTAGT